TCCGATTGTCACATTTAGGGATTGACAAAAGTTGGTATTTTGTGTATCGGGTCAATGACGGGAATGGGAAAGAAGTGATACTTCATATTTTGGGAAAAAATAAATGTAATTTCTGGTTTTCTCAGTTTTAGTTCATGTACGAGTATTATCGACTAGCCAAAATTATTTTGTGTTTCTTATTTTGAAAATGACGAACTTCTTTGCTACAACCTTTGAAAGACTCGCTTAGGGGTGAAGTTCCAAAAATCCTTTCTTGGGAAGTATTTACAAACATCTGCCAAAGCTGCCAAAATTTCCAGATCGCAGCTCCAGTGTTTTAGGCTCTACATTGGTGAATCAGACAGTCACTTCGGGCAAGTAATTTAAATGTATAAGTCTATATTACTAATAAGTAATGTAATTTAACATTACTTGTTTACTTTCAAAACTATTTAATGCATGTACTTTTTAATTTGTCATTAACTTTTATCCATAAGAGTTTAACTAAACATTTAATTCGACTTTGTTTCTTATATTCTAAAATTGCATAATTGGAATAAACGTGGACAAAATGAAATCAGTTTGTAGAACACATTCGGCAGTTTACAGTAGAATGACGTTGTTAATTTCCATACAAATGTATCTCGAGCAACAACTGTTCAACGGGATGGTCTAGTGTTTGCATATTGTATAAAACCGCAGTACTAACTTGCTCTCTGTTTTGTACAGAATACTGCAAAATTCCGGCGGCGGTACAGTAAAACTAAGTATAACAGAAACTAACTTTCAAAGCCTAAAATTAAAAACTTAAATTTATTGAAATTGTTATTGTGGTATACCTACTACAGTTTTGCAGAAGTGTTACGGTTTCGGTATATATTTGTTTTGGATGTGGACCAAGTTTCTCTAGAGTTAATTATTTCTAAATTGATTAAGATTCGAATTTAGATCCGACTTTTTATGCAAGAGTCGTTGGCTCTTTTACCCACGCATCTGAAACTATGTGTTCTATACCAGTTACATTTGAAGGCAAGAATTTGAAAGAATTATGAAGAGTCGCGTCCTTCCAATACTCAAATGTAATCTCTGACAATAAGACTTTGACTGTATGTTGACTTAGTTTATAATCCTTATGTTCTTTGTACTTTTTACGTAGCTAACACATGAGTGAGTACTAACTATAAGTACTATCGTATATACAAGCTCTCTCATTTGCTCTCTTAATAAAGTAAAACTTTGTAGCTCAGTTCTTTTCTGATGCCACCACATCGATTGGAAAAAAGAGTCTGTATACAGACTGCTAAAACTACTGATAAACATACTCATTTATTTCTAAATGATGTAAACATATCAATTAAATTATATTTGCTCATCAAACAATTAAACAAAAACAAACACGCCGGCCTCTGAGTGACCCCGCCAGAATTAGGGGCGCGGGTTCCCTCCGGTGAACTGACTCCCTCAGTGCAATGCAACAAAAGAATTACTTAGCACCGGTTTTCACTACACTACTGTACTTGGTATTCAAAAACATGTAGTCGCGATATAAAAAAGTATATATTATATATTATTATCTGCCATGTGTTTAGAACCCATTCGTAAGAAACGTACAAAAGAAACAAATAGATTTTTTTCTTCGACTTATTGGCAGAAGCTGATATAGGGTTTCAATCAAGTTGTGCAAAGGTTTGTGATTCAAACACACGATTGTTTTCAAGATTAATGCTTTCGATACGATCTCTCTGCGAACGTGTTACAGCTGTAAATACCCTATGAAACGCTGAAGGCCTTTGTTCGATCATAAAAGGTTATATCGATACTGTTTTCTATTGATATTTGTGGATATATATATGTGGGTGAAAGCTTGTTTTTGTAATACCGTGTGATAAAAGCTGTCACGCGCAGGTGCAGCGCAAATAACTTTTATTTTTGCAAATAAGAGCCAATGCACACATTCTGAATTTTTCGATTACGTTTTGGTAGGTACTGACGAAATGCGAACGATCGTCGGTTGCGGATGTGAAAAGTTTATACAGTACTTTGTTTTTATTGAAAATAACATGAATAAATGATCACTGTTTATTTTCCGGCCGAAGGAAGATTCTCTATTACAGGTTCACCCTATTTTTCTTTTGTCATTTGACCTTTATGTGACTATTAGTCTGTATTATGTATACTTCTACTTCTACAGGACGTATTTTTCAAATTATTTTCACGAAACATAGCATTGATTTTCCTTTGCGTTTTATTTTATATTATATATGTGTACAGTTTACGTACACTTAAGGAAGTATAACATTGTTTAACTGATTACGCAAATCGGTCGATTAAAAATTTTACCCAGTGTACACTTTTACTTCGTAGCGAAAGTACCTTTGTAAGAATCCCTTTATGATATTTTAAAAACTAATGAACAGTAAACTCTACAAACGAGAAGAGTTTCCTCTCCCAAGCACACTCACACACAACTTACATATTAATAAAAGTGTACAGTTCACTACACTACACTATACTCGTATATTGAAAAATATTAAGTTGGTTCGTGTACGCTTCAAATACTCAAAAAGTTGTTCACTGATTGAAAGTTTGTTTTTATGTATTTTTGTTCCTCATTTCTCAACAATGTTCCACAACGAATCATGGCAGGGTACAGCTAGTTTATAATATATTTTAATTTCTTTTATAAAAATTTAAAATTTTATTAAAGCCCTATTCATTTATAACCTAAATTATCCCTGAATACCAGATTCGTGTGGCTTGAGACGTGAACGGGAGTATTGTAGTCCCTTCAATTTATAAAGAAGCGTCTATGCCACTACCTCAGAACTTTCTAAAGATCTGTCTATTCTGCTCAAATGCCAGATTACCCTGCCCGGGACCCTCAAGCTAGCGCTCATCCAGGTCATAGAACATTATTGGCTTATCATCTCTCGTTTCCTTTCCGCTGCCTCTTTGGTGATGATGGTGATGCAACCTCCTTGCGAACTGCGCGCGCCTCTCACTCATTACCATAGCCTTGTCGCAAAGTCATGGCGTTGCTGGATCTACGAGTACGCTTGACACACTCCACTAGGTTGCGAAGTTGAGTCTCCTGATAGGACAGCTGTGATGGCACGCAAGTAAGGTTCCGGTCCTGTTCCTCACAATGTATGCTGTACAGATTCTTTCCTGCTAATCTGAATCTGTCGTTAAGAGGGACTGACGTGATCCTTTCTACCCAAATCTCCAAAAATATTTTAGTACCTGCTCCAAGTATAATATAATCTCTAGTGGTAAATAATAACGTTAAACTCTACAATGTTAAATATTTTGATTGTAAACAGGACTACAGCTTACAGAAAATAATACCAGCTAAGTACGTACATTAATCTACGATTTCTTTTCTTTTTAAATTCTCAACGGGGCTTTTAGTACAATACAAAGTATTTTACTTCAATCTTGTCGCAAGTATTTCGACAATTTACTTCACTAATTAAAAGTCATAGAATACCTTCACGTAATGTAATTAATTCCATGAAAATTGCTTTTTCTTTAAGGCTTTACAACAGCTTTGAACCGAATAACAGAGTGATTAGATATATTTTGTGTAAGGGTTGTAGTTTACACATATAATATTAATTAATTAATTATTTATAATTAGCTATTACCATTATTGAGTAATTAAAATAAGTATTTTAAGCTTTACAATACAATGTAATCCATTACACATCATGTTATCTATATAAATACAGGGTGACTGGTTAAGTCGACCTAGATACTGTAGAGGGTTGTAGTTTCGCTTATTAATTATAGATTTCACTATTAAATACCATATCCCAAACCCAACCGTTTACAAAATATTGGTCATCTAAGATTTTTTTTTAATAAAAATTGACGAAATTTTGCATTTTTTTTTCTTAATTCTTATTTTTACTGTTTTTGTGTCGTTAACACATTGATTTATAATTTTCATTTCAACTTAAACTAGGCACAAGTAGGGTTTTTTTTTGTCTTTGCTTACGGAGCTTAGCCACAATGATGACTACGTCGCTCCATCATAGCCATTTTTTGCTTTAAACTAAACTTTTAAATAGCTATAGCTGTATCTGGTCAAAGGACTGGCCAGGATGCTGTTACATCTTCCAATGTTCCAACTTATCACTAAGCAGGCGTTCTTTAAGGAAGTAGGTGGTTGATAAGCAAAATAAAATAAATTTAAAATATTTTTTATTGTTTACTAAAGAAAAAGAAACAAATAAAGAAACAGACAATGTATGGAATGTATGGAATGACAATGTATGGAAAAAGAAAAACTTTTGGATGAAAAGGAGTGTAATGATTTAAAGTTGAGGTTTTTAATGTCAAAAAGACTTTATAGGGTTTTTGCTTTCTGTTAGTGACTAAAATTATACACCTACATTACGACAATAACAAGAATATAATCACCAGGAAAACATTACACCCTCCGAACTGATCTTAATACGTAGAAAATACTAATCTGTTTTTAAAGCAAATACTGCTATGGTTGTTTCAGTCGACTATACCTATGTCGTGTTTAATCGTAATTATTGATACCGATAATAATGTGCATTAAGTTTAAAGTGTAATCCTAATCCTATTTACTAATACACACAACAACAATGAAGCAATAATAATATTATGATGCGAAAGTGGTTTGTTTGTTTGTTTAGCGGAACAATATTTCAGCCGATTTCTTCTATCCACCCAGCTCCTTCTTTCCTATTTCCTTATTTAAACACAACTCCCGCATTAAGACTTTAGAAACGGAATATTCATGAAACGGGCACAAAGAACACCCACTCAGAACAACAATTAGTAGATCACACAAAGTGTTGTCTCCATTTGGGATTAAACCCACAACACTCAGCGTAGTAGTAAGCTTGTTATCATGTTCAAAGTTAAGCTTAAGGCGGATAGAGTATCGTATTCATTGGTGTGTATCAATTGCAGGTGAGGAGAGGCGCTGCGTAGCGTCGGGTGAGAGGCGATGATCGGCCAGAAGGGTCGGCCGCGCGCTCACCATGCGACAGCCGTCGACCGAAGTTAGTATACCTACATTTTTATCATATTGAGTTTGATCAGTGAGATGACGCATGACAGAGTAGAATGGAAAAATCATACATTCTGCGCCGACCCCAAATAAAATTGGGAAAAGGGTAGGCAGATGATGATGTTTATCATTTAGATGTCATATTTTACTTTAAATCGTAATCCCACAAACGCCATCGTTTGAGTACATTGCAATTACGACACAGAAATTTAAATAAGTTTATAAATTGTTAGATGAATTGATGCAGATTGCGGAACTGACAAGGATATAATTCCAATATATGTATGGCCATCAAAGTATCATCCGGCCGGCAAAGTATCATCGGTCGTCTGAAGCGATCTCGAAAACCCCAAAAAATTGTAAAATAAAAAATATTTTCTGTTTCTCCCACCGTGACTTTTTTATCTATCTGAGCTCTTAAAGTTGATGTCATTTTAGTTTGAAAAAATATTTAAAATTATGTAATTGGAAACTTAAGGAACGAAGAATACAGTTTATTACTGTTGCTTATCTATTATAATTCCTCATGATTTAGAATCATTATTGATATTAGTTTAACAATTATCTTTGTGTAGCATCATAGCGGTTGGTCGAAATATTAAATTCGGGTCTCTATCTTCACTAATTATTCCAAATCTATGTTCTATTCTGCAAGCATAGAGTGTCTTATTATTTAACACTACCGAATGAAGTTTCAATAATAATGAGCTTCGTTTTCGGACATTAAATATGGTCGATAGAGAACTTAGCTTGCTTAGTAAGTAGATTTTTTATATTATGTATCAATCACATTTACAGTACGATTCTTGCCTTTTATCTAAAGCTAAAATATTGTATATTTTCTAAAATATACCAATGAGAAGAGTTAAAATGTAATCATTGAAAGCAATACCAAATAGGATCTTTTAATTAATTATTCGTTTTTCTAACAAAGTTAAGCAAACGGTCGATTGTGAAATTTAGAATAGTAATATTGTATTGCAATTATGATAATATTCTTACGCATCTCACACATGACCCTCTGATTCGAAATCAAATAGGCAGAGACTATGCTATGGTAATTAGACTGCTGGAATTAGATATTTGGCTATTTTAAATAAATTACATCCAGGCAAAAAACATAATCGTACTCATTATACAGTTATTTGTCCTGAGTGGGCATCCTAGCTTAGCAGTCAGGATCACTAACCCCTAGAACAAGACTAAAACAAGGTGGTGTGAATTGAACAATGTATAAAAACGGCTAGCTCAATCTAAACGGTTTCAGTGTACGCATTTCTATTTAGGTTGAATTGTCGTGGTACGAAGTCTATACAAAGACTATCTATTCCCGTTTATCTCATGTACTGAGCCACGAACAATAGTAGTTTATATTGTAGTGAGTACTAGATTATGCCCCTGGTTAAATTTGTTGTTTTTTATTCCTCGGGAGCAGTACTTTTTGTTTCGATTTGTCGTTTCTTGTTCATTGAAAATCGGTTGAGCAGTTGATCTGTAACAGCGTAGCAAACAATCTCTTTTTCATATTTATAATATTATGTTAGAATATAATTTACATTATTCATGTAATGATGGATTAAGAATGCGGAGTGTCACCACTCCTGTTCATCCCGTGGGTGTCAAAGGGGTCGACTAAGAGAGCAAACTAAGTAGGACAACAGCACTACAAAGAGAAGAAAAACTTGACACAAACCTTATACTCGTATTTATATAGTAGGCCAAAACCTCTTTTCTAAGGAGAGGCCTATGTCGAACAGTGGACAAAATTGTGGTGAAAAAATACAAAACATTATTTATTTTAAGCGTTGTGAGATAAAAAAAACCGCTGTTTCAAATGGTGAAAATAAGCAATCTAACATTTGTAACGCGCAATTCTTGCGGTTTCTAACCTAAAAAAGAAAACAAAAAAGCTGATTTTCTCCGGGATCGAGTTGGCATAAATATTTTAGTAGGTAGGGGTGCGTTGTATCATTTAAAACCTTCAGTGTAAGGATTGGAACAGTTTTTTGTTTGTGGAGTTTTCGCTGCGGGAAGATGAAAAACAATACATAATGCAAGCAGCAGTTCTTATCTCAATTATGTCACCTTCTATGTGTTTGACGTCAAATTTGCTTCCCTTTTCTATATAAAGAGCAAGAAGGTCATCTAAATGTTGTCTTAAAGGAGATTTTATGTAAATAATCTATTTAGTTTTTAAATATCGTTTTGAGATAGCGTGGGTGCCAAGCCTTGCTTCGTAAAGTATGAGCAAACTCGACTAGAGTGATACCACGGACAAATACCCGCTGTCAAGCAATGCTTCCGTTGCATTTCATAGCCTGGGCAAGGTTAACTGTCGACTGCACGGATGGTTTAGTGGTTTAAGCGTTCGCCACGCCGCTTCCTACTACGCCGACACGGCACGACACTTTGTGTGATCCACAGATTGTTGTTCTGAGTCTGGGTGTTCTTTGTGTCCGTTTCATGTATGTTTGTAAAGTCCCCCGCGACACAGGATTTATTCCTAATGCGGGAGTTGTCTTTAAAAAAAAAAAAAAAAACTTATAATATTAATAATCATAGGCGTATCCACAGTGGGGCACAGTTCTTGCCCCACCATGACTTAACCCAGTTTTTTACGTGACGAAAACATTTCATGAATGAGTAGTAGGTATGTTCAAAGCCGTAGGTTCCAATGCAACACCGAAATTAAGTTTTGTCAAAATATTATTATGAAGACATAAACAGTTTTGGTATTCTGTATAATAAGGTTAGAAGTAAATAGAACATTAATTTCCAATCATTTATCTAGTTTTCTTAGTTTTGCCCCACCCTTAGGGAAATGCTAGGTACGCCTATGTTAATAATAATATTCTGATAATATCCACCAAACTAGAAATCTCAACTATTTAATAATCCATTTTAAAGAACCGGATATAAATTTTTGATCTGCTGAAAATGTGCCAAGTAATAAAATAAAGAAAGAGTAAAGAAAAGGAAAATTGCTGAGTTGGAAATGTTTGCCGGAATAAGATTAAGATAAAATTGAGAAAAAATGCTCAACAAAAACGTCAACAATCATTTCTATACACATCACACATCACATCAACAGCCTTTGATAGTCCACTGCTGGATATAGGCCTCTCCTTAGAATATATAATAATATACCAAGTGACCTCAAATAATTGCCATACATATACGAGTAAATACCTTAAGTATATGGTTACGAGACAGAACACGTCCTATCGACCAATTCTTTAATTATGACACACATTAAAAATAATTAATGTTACAAAGTTTTTGACTAATTAATATTGTATATGTGATTTTAGTTCTTAATATTCTCTTTGCATACTGTTTTTACGGGTAAATAGGCGGCAAATATTGTATAACTACCAACTCTGCATGTACCAACACTATTTATAAGCAAATAAAGAATTTGCATTTGAGAGCTTTTTTCCGGCAAGATGTCTTACAAAAACTGTTTAGATGATATTCCCAATATTGCATTTTCAGACGGTCGACAAAGCAGTATGGACGGAGGAAGGTGGCGCGGCGCGGCTGGAAGCAGTGCTTGTGGCGCTTGTGGAGCGCAAAGCACGAGCGTTGCATGCCGAGCAGGCGCGCCGGCGCGCTCGTCACCCTCTGCTGCTGCTCTTGCGAAATCATTTGCCCGACGGTGAGTATCAACTGCATCTTGTTTTATAATGAGCGAGCGAGACGTAGAGATACATTACTAGCCTAAAACATCCTTTGCATAAATTTTAAAGCCCAGTTTGTAGGTATATTTTAGGATAAAATATGAAGTCTGAATATTTTGGTCTGTTCGGAGTTAACTAGTTTAATTTACTAATACAACTGTTGATATTAACTCATATATAAGCATCAACTCGGTGCATATAAATATTTTTTTAGACGACTAGGTGACCCGTAGACGGGATGGGTATGAATTAAAATCACGCTAAGCCTTTTATACGGAAACATCTCCATCGAGAGATGACGATGCCTCGTGCTGACTCACGATAACATGCACCGTCCGCGCTATCATTTAGCTCTTTAACAAAGTACTAGCAATGTATATGTTTCTAATAAGTCAAAGTAAAATGATCCTCCTGAGTCCCTACAATCTCTTTAAACTGGCAGAAAAGGGGGGGGAATCACTTATCCTAAAGTTTTAACGTTGCGTAAACGTTATACGAGTAGATAAAAACAAATTACAACTGTCGTTATCAAATTAAACGATTCCTTTGTGAAAACTTATGAACTCCCTTCCGTGTGCAATTGAAATTTAATCAATTTATTACTTCAGAATTATTTTTCTCCACATTTAGCTATTGTTAACAAATACTTTAATTTGACAGTGCAAGAATCTATTATAAATATAGTAAATGATTATGAATTAAAGAAATTTTTAACAGAAACTGTTTGAATAGTTGTTTGAGTATGGAATCATTTGAATTATATTTAATTTTACAGAGGAGGCGTCTATCATTGGCAGTCATGGCGAGGAGCTACCATCGCACTGGTGCGAGCATGAGATGGCTAGGCATAAAAAGAAGCTGAAATTGCACACCCATCACAGGTTAATCTTGCTTTTTTATCAGTTATTTTTTAAATTTCAGCCCCATTAAATTTGTATTATCAATCTTTCTGTTCAGCATAGTATAATAGATTAATTTTTTGTTACATCTTTGTAAACAAAAGAGATTACATACTCTCTGAATACTCTTAATACAATTTAGGTATTAGAAAATATTATCGGTTTCATACTTTTATTATAATTTATGCTTTTATGTGCGTATTCATGAATTTAAGAGTTTTTGACAAAGATGTTAATTACATTATAAACAGTATATTTCATCATATAAAAGATTTAGTTATGTAAATAAAAAAGAAAATCACGTGCCCGCAGTATATTACTTACAAAGGGTTTTCAACTTTGTATAAATACTCAAGTTTTAATTAAATTATTAATTTACGCATCCCAACATAAACATGATAATAAGTTTTATATAATTACTAAACTAAATATTTAATAAATGTTCTCTTTGTTAACTAGAGAGATGCAGAGCCCCGAACATCTGGAGCTGGAGCGGCGTCGTCGTCGACGTCGACGTACTCCTCGGCATCATTCGCAGAAACCCCGGAAACATCGAACCTTGCTTGTATCAGCTATTGATGAACAGGCAAAAGTTATACACGTACGTGCAAAAGCAAAGAGTACACATTTTCTCTAAGAAATTATTATCTGAGAAAACGTGTTACAACCTCTTAAATGTAAGGTATATGGTGGATTTGCATAAATATATTGATTGATACTCGAATGGATTTGCAATAAAAACTTCTCTAAAATAAGTGACCAGAGGACCATGAGTGAGTTTATTTCACGTCTGATCGATCGTCATGACCGCGTTCGGCGTTGCGATTAGCACGCGCTAAAATCTTCATGAATAAACATGGTCCAGGTCCTCCCCAGAGTACAGCACCTGAGACTGGCCGGGCCGTCAGGGTGGCCCTTAGTGGAAATGTCACATACTCCTGGCTCCTGCGTTCCCCAGTAGCCGGAGAGATTAAAAGATTTGCCACCCTATCAACAAAAAAAAGGCCCTCAGAATAGCAAAATACTTTTACTCTTCTACACGTTCTTCCGAAATTAAGGCGCCAAAAGTTCTGACAGTTTTACTAGCTTGACAGCGCCCTCTATTGAAAGTACATATTATAACGTTTGCTGTTGGTTGGCTTCGATAGTTCCCTCATTTTTCCGCTAGGGCTGTCGCATGTCGTTGCTTAGTTTTTTTCATAGTTATAAAGAAGTTACATAGAGGGCGTGAAATGCAGTTTCTTAAAATTTGGCAAAACTTGAGGTTCTAAATTCCAGTTATTAAAGAAAATACAATGTATTTTAAACTGTTATTTGTGCACTATAGGAATACACAGGAATGCATTTTATAATTTTTCTCGAATTAATTAGCACGTGCGCTCGTTCTCAGTGAACCTAATTTGGACCAATTCACATCACAAGTTTTGTACGTTGGTGACGTACCTATCTATCTCTTGTTTGTAAATAATATCATTGGTAACAGTCAAACGTGTGGATTTTAAAATGTTAATCAAAGTCTACGTGAGTATCAGAACTCGAACTGAAGAAAAATAATTTCGATATGGCGATTTTTTCAATGGTATAGGGATACAAACGAGCAGACGGGTTATCTGATGATAAGTGACTATCACCGCCCACCTTAAAAAAATTGATAACACGCTAAGATCTCAGACGACAAATATTGTTGTATTGTAGAATATACAGAGAATAAAGTGTAACTCAAATACAAACCTCGATTTTAAAACGTGTCGAAGAGTAGACTTTTATCTTAGTCTTACTATTTACATCTTTTTATCAATCCTGTAATTTTTACTGCACCTGCACATATTTTCTACACCTGGAAAATAAAAATAGGAAAGAAGGAAATAAGAAGAAACAAAATCACTAGTAAAAAAAGATTCGGATTTAAGAAAAGAGAAAAGGTTATTCCAAATATTTTGAGACCTTCAATAATTCGCTCAAATGATTTTTACTACGATTGTTTTTGCTGTAGAATCCAACTACTTGATTACTAAAATAATTTTGCAAATCGGTCCACAATTGACGGAGATATCGCGTAACAACATACAAAAAAAAAAATACAGACAAATTTGTAACCTCCTCTTTTGTGTTTTTGAAGTCGGTTAAAAACTGGAATGGAACCGCCAGCTCAACTAGTGAAAAAAACATACATATCAAGATTATTCAATGGACTTTTAATTTTCCCCACGAATTTCGATTTTCCCATCGTTAATTAGAATCTGGAGGAGCTATATAGGTAAAGGTCTCATACGCTTTTTTTTTGGAAAAAATAAATCAACATATGAATGGAAAATCCAGAGAAACAAGGTCACTGACATAGCATACCAGATCAGCAAGCTGAAGTGGCAGTGGGCCATAGTGATATTATTGGGGAAAACAAGTTCTTGAGTGGAGAACGCGCCACGGCAAACGTAGTGTAGGACGCCCACAGGCCAGGTGAAGTGACGATTTGCGCAAGATTTCTGGCAGGAGCTGGATGTGAGAAGCCCAAAATAGATCTGAGTGGCGTGCAATGGGAGAGGCCTATTTCCAGCAGTGCACTGCGATAGGCTGATGATGGTGAACGGAAAATATTATAACGTTTTTTTTTTCAATTAAATAAAATTTAACGAACTTCGATGAAATTTAACTGAATAGGATATTTTCTTACAGGTATTAGACCCCGATGAATTGCCGCGCCGCGCTCGTTATACGATCATGGTGACGGCATGCCTATTGCTGTTCCTATGTTTGCTGCTAGTCGGTGTCACATTGCGGATGGCGCCGCTTATCGATGATATGGGTGAGTGAAATTCTTTACTCTACTTACTCTACTTAAAAAAGAAGAATACTATATAAAGAAGAAGAAGTAAATAATTTCAATTTGGTAACTTACCTATATAGATGTATTGAAAAGTGATTGTCCATTAATGTTAGTTATACTGACAATATAATATTATAAAGTCTCCTGCCGCGTCTGTTTGTCTTTATGCCTAAAAGTGATAAATTTCAAAAATGCCTAAATCATTTTGATACTGTTTTCACCGACGAATGGAGTGATTTATGACCAAGGTTTAGGGTTTATTGATTAAGATTGAAAAAAAAATATGTCAGCGATGATTTAAGGTATCAAAAAAATTATGACGACTGGGAGATTTGCCGGCGTGTGCATCGTAAATTAAATGAGTTATATGAAAATAATCTTTATTGATATATGCATTTTCTAATATTGATAAAAAACACCTTTAAATATATTTTAAATTAAGCATCAGCGTCGTATCGTGTCGTATCAGCCTGTCGCGTAGAGCATATCTGTAGGCAGTACTACCCGTGCGAAGCCGGTTGTAAATTGGTTATTACCACTAATAACTAACTTTTGCCAGCGACTTCGTCCGCGTGGTGGTCGACAACGTGGAAAATACGGTACTAACCAAAGATTGCCAACTTCCATTTTGTCCCCTTAGGGGTGGAATTTTTAAAAATCCTTTCTTAGTGCACCACCTACGTCACCTAAGGAACATTTGTGCAAAATTTCATGCTTCTAGACCCAGCGGTTTAGCTGTGCGTTGATCGATCAGTCGGTGAATCGGTAGGTCAGGTTCTTCGTTTATAGATATAGATTTTTAAGGAAATTTTTCGACACAGAAGTGTATCCTCTACATTTTTCTATTAATTAATTTATTGTAAAGATAAAGAATATTTTATATTAAATATAATATAACTAATAATAATATAATATTGTACCACATACACACAACACCATCTAGTCCCAAACTAAGCAGAGCTTGTACTATGGGTTCTAGACAACTGATATAAATACATATATACTTTTTTTTGTAAAATACATACATATTATACATTGAAACACCCAGACTAAATCAAACATTAAATTTCCATGCACACAAATGTTTGACTTAAGCGGTAATCGAACCCACGACATTTAGAATAGCAGCCCGTTACACAAACCACTACGCCATCCGGTCGTCAATATAATATGAAGCGTTGAGTTTTATTCTCTTTTGATATTGCTGATAAACCATAGGGTTCGTATTATTAATACTGTCTAAGATTTGTAAGATTTTTGTATTATTTATACTTCAAAATAGTAAAACTTCATGCACTGTTCGAAAACTAAGCTAGCTATAAACTACATACTCTTGAGCATAGCCGTAAAGGAGCCTACTTACCCATTTTCTATAGGTTTCACTTCAGTGAGCAAAAGCTGTCATTGAACTAATTAAAACCTCAACGGTCTAGTGGACGCAGATAGGTCTCATCCCTTACTTTATAGATTCACCAAAAAGTCAATAACAATTGTTATACTGACTGATTGTTTTTGTTATGATTTTGTATGCCTAGCTCTTAAGAAAAATGGCATATTAGTATTCCTTTCCGTTATTCTTTGAAAAATTGCTAGTTTTTCTTCCTCCTTCTTTTTTGAAGACCAAGTTTGAGATCCGTAGGTTATATTTTTTATTTTTATTTTTTATTTTCTTTTTATTTTTTATTGCAATCCTCCCGTTTACTTCATTTGCGGTTCAACTTTTAAATGATACTGAGTGTCCTTAGTATATATATTCGTTCACGTACTCTATCTTATTGCCATCTACTATAATATCTATGGTTTCGCCATTTCACAGAATCTTAGTCTTGGAGGCGTTTATAGATAAACCAACATTTTTGCTTTCCTTTGATAAACTATTTATCATAAATCCTAAGTCGGTTGCATTGTCTGCAAGAAGTACTATGTCGTCTACGAACCTCAAGTGGTTTAAGAACTCTCCTCCTTTTTTAGACCAATATTCTCTCAATTCAACTGCCGGAATATCGACTCTAGTACCGCCCTTACCGAAGGGGTAAACTCAGGTAACAGTAAACTCAGTTGGCCGGGCACTTTGAGTATAGAGATGGAAAAATCAGGTGGGATGGGCGAAAGTAGGTCATGGAAAGAAAGCTTTTAGAAGAAAAGTGATATCGCTTATAAGGGACTACGAATTATTAATATGAGGTCTAACAGATCAGGGTCGTGGTGAGGGAGGGATTGGTCCCATAAAACAAAGATCAGGGTCGTATGCTTGTAACTTGAACTTGCTAATGCTGATAGTTTAACTTACGAATTTACAAAAACAATTGCCATGATTATATTTATGCCATCCGTGTGGTGACGGATTAAGAATACAGAGTGTCACCACCCCTATTCATCCTGTGGATATCGTAAGAGCCGACTGAGGGAAAAAACTACGCAGAAAAATGTATAGTAGGCCAAAACCTCCTTTCCACGGAGAGGCTTATGTCCAGCAGTGGGCATTAAAGGCTGTTGAGGTGTGATGTGATATTTATGCCGAAATATTCTTATTAAATTAATTACTCCCAACATACAAAAAACATTTTTCTTGGAAACTAAATGTAAATTTAAACCAAATTATCACGAGATATACCGAATAATACATATAAGTATTAAGAAACCAAAAACAGGGCATTTAAAACTGTTCAGATAATCACTGTAATGCATTTTGCTCAGCCTTCTAAGTAGCCATTATGATTTTAACGCAAGAAGCCTCTAACCGTAGCGAATCGTAGCTGTATCTGTAGAACTTGTAGCGTGACCTCGACGTAGCATTAAACATGAACATTTTTGCCACAAATAGCATTTAAAATAGATTTTAAGGGTTTTGCACGGTAGTGTGGGATTCTTACCCACTAAAAAACTTCCTTTCTCTTGTACCCAGAACCGCAGGACCGCTCTAACATTACTTCGCGGAACTCCTTCTAGCCGTTTGGCTGCGGCTACTGCTCCGTGTTCCTTTCTACTTCCTTTTTCTGCAGCAGGACCTCCCTTACAAAACCCGTAATTGCTGTCCAGTTGTTTGCCGTTTCTAGCATACAAGGGAACCTCTTCCGATCTTCGTTTCACTCCCTTCTCACTATGCCCACGCAGCCCTATTTCAGCCCAACGTTGGCACACGAAGAAGGTATGCTCGGTGGAGTCAACTTCTCCCAAACAGCACACACAATCGGGATTGTTTCGGATACCCATATGGCGTAGAAAGGCATTGAACTGCCCGTGTTCTGTAACAAACAGTGTGAGGTAGTAATCTACCTCTCCATGTTCCCATAGGAGCCAGTCACGGACTCGCTCAATAAGCTTATTAGTCCAACGCCCGGTTTTCACGGACTCTCAGCGCCCTTGCCAGAGCGTAAAGATCTCCTCACGTTCTCGAGTCCTAACGTCCATCAAAGGTTCCTCGCCAGCCCGCCGAGCATCCCAGATACGCCTTCTCTCGAAACCCAGAAGGTCGATTGGAATTGTACCGGAAATGACCAGAACAGCCGCCACAGATACCATTTGATAGGCACAGGGCTTTACACACTACTGGTTATAATTTTATTGATACATAATTTTGTAAAAAAATGATCGTAATGTTAGGGATATTTGATCGTTTAATTCATTGTGTGCACAACCCTGTAAATTCCCGGGTATTCTCCATGGTTTTCGGAAGATTCTTACCTATACATGGTTGTTGAAATATGTATTTTGTGTAATGACATTCTATTAAAAACTTTTTAATTAAGTTATGTAAGTCGTATTTTGCAAGTTACAACACGACCGAATTTCGTGGCAAGCGTAGTTCTTATCTCTATTTCTTATCAAGTCCATGGAAGCAATAAGGGTATAAAGAAAATATTAAACTATAACAGTAATGCAAAATTTTTAAACGTGTAGTTACATACTCAGATAGCACATTAACCTTGCTTTTTGGTCACAGATATACCTAAACCAGGTGTTCTCTAAACGCTCATGCTATCAACCTAACGCGTTGGGCTCTTGCGCTAGCATCCGATTTCGCCTACTACTATATCACGGAGGCTGACAATCTTTTCATAATAAAGTGGTCTAATGAAACATACGTTGCATCGTCATATTATTTTGTTTATTCTGGACTGGGTTTTGGACTCGCATTTGAGATGCTAACAAGTTAATTATTTTGAAAACAAAAAACCTGACTGCGTGAAAGTCGTATACTTAAAGAAACGAACTTAATTATATTTTATATTTATTTAAGGCATTTATTTTTCCTCCGAACCTTTTTCCCAAACTAAGTTGGGGTCGGCTTTAAGTCTATTACGATAAGGCTGAAGTTCGATTTTATACGCGAAGCGACTGCCACCAGACCTCCACTACCCAAGTACTGTAGTAGTAAAGATTACCTATTTTAGCTTTTCTCATTCCAAATTACATTTAAATATTAATATGATATTTTTATAGGACATTCATGAAACCCTTGTCGCGTAAAATCTATAAATCTATTTTCATATACCCAGTGTCACTCTCACAGTTAAGACAAATCTAACGACGCCAATCTATCAAGCCGTTTAGGCTATTGAGCGTGCCAGAAAAACATACATACACATACCAGCATCATCATCATCAGACTTTCAAACTGAAACTCAAAATATCTTTATTTCATAAAAAAAATGATTGAGTATTTTATGTAGACTCTGAAGTCATAGATTAACACACATAATAGCAACAATCTCTGTTTTGTCAAATAGCAAAATAAATTTTATAAAAATAAATTTATACAAAATCTATGATAAACCTGTGCTGATCTACAGCCGCCCGTGTCCAAGGGATTGAGCCCAGTGAGAAGAAAGTGCAAACAAACTTATGGCCACTCTTTTGCAATTTACAGATAGATACAATGGCATCATTAAATATACCTACATCACATTTCTACTTAAGAAATAGCCTACTCTAAATTAATTAAAAGCATATTACTCAATTGTGGATTGCATAGAAGACAAATCTT